AGACGAGGTAAAGCTCCTCCGGGAGCTTCTTCGGAGCTAACGGCTATCCGCGAGCGTTCAGTGAACGAAATCTTATGCCACCAAAAAAAAGCGGACAGAGGAGCGTTGCCCACCAAAGTCGTGGCGGAGCATCCCGTATATGAAAGGGGTCTCCGAAACGGTGGCCGGATCCCTCGCGCCTTTCGAAATAGGAGTGGCCCATAGGCCTACCGTCACAATCCAACAACAAGTAATGGGGCCGGAAGACGCTATACCGAAAGAAAAAAAATCAGGCGCTCTCTGCCGACTTCGGTGCAGTTGCGGGATGTGCAACTACTTTGGAGAAACCGGTCGGCAGCTACAAACCCGAATGCATAAGCACCGGCTGACGATAAGAAGGCTGGAACCGAAGTCGGAGGTAGCAGCCCCTGCTGCAGAGATGGGGAACCTCTTCAACTTTGACGCCGTCAAAATTGTGGGTTGAGGTGACGATCACACGTCAAGGCAGATTAAAGAATCTTGGATGTCGACCGACTGTTCGGTTAACCGCCACACAAATTTGCCGGCCCCCTATGTTGTGTTAGGAACATACTTATCAGGGGACGGTTACAACGCAGAACAATCGGGACCGTCAACCAGGGATCCGCTCAACCGACGTATCCAGGAGACAGGCTATGACGAGACGCAGGGGAACCAAATAAACACTGACGCCCCAGTTGCAGACAGTATCAGCGGTTACCAGGCGGTTGGCGCGGCGCGCGGTTACCACCTAGAGACACGAGCTACGCAGAGTGGCTCAGACTGGATTGGTAGACTGCGCACGCGAAAGAAAGGAGTGACATATAGCGAGAGCCAGGAGCCAAAGCATTCACTCTCTGAAGATGGATAGACGGGATAACCATCCGAAAAGTCAGATAAAAAATAAACCTATCCCGATGAGCTCCCTTCCTCCTCCTCCTGACTCCCTACCCGGAGATGGAATTTTCGTTACTATTACAGTAATAAGCGTGCATGCGGCTGCCAACGATTTGAATAAACAAGAGTTACCTTCAATGACCACAAAGGCCGCGTCCAATCCACCGGTGACTTCGGTTAGTTTTTCCGATGTTTTCGCGTCAACATCGTACTGGTAGAGTACTGGTGGAGCCGAAGAACAACTACCACTGAGGACACAGATGTTGCCCAATCGCCCTCTTTTCCTCTCGTTAAACGGACACTTTCCATCATCCTTCGAAGATGAATTTTCGATCCACTTGCTTATTCGACCTAGAAGTCGACTTTAATGGTTCAATTTTAGGAAGCTGGTTAAACGGCTTACGAACATTCCACGTTCCTGTTCCAAAATCCTACATGATCAAATAGTTTGTATCTGAAGTCAGCGTCAATTTGGTTCCACCTAACTTCTTTCAGCATAGTTTCGGCATGCACTAGCCGTGTGTCATTAGTTATGCCGGGTGGACTCATCCATCGCCCAACCGCCTCAAAAACGCTTTCCTCCCTTTTAACTTCAAGGTCATCTGCCTGCAGCAGGGAGAGGACAGAGTCTGGCGGCAACTGTGTGAAGAAGTCACTCACAATCGTGGATTCAAAATTCGTCTTTATGTGTTGCAGACAGGCATTACTTAACATGTTGCTTTTTAGCATCTGTGCGAGCTCCCA